GCGCACCTTCCTGAGCGGCCTCAGCGACTGCACGAGCGGCACCTTCGGCCGCGTGCGGCGCCTCTGGGAGTCCCGCTCCGCCGCGCACAAGGAGGTACCGCTCGGGAGCTGTGCGGGGGCGGGTGTCCCCCCCCGGCCGGCCCGTGCTGCCCTCCCGCTCCCTGCCCGCAGATCTGCGCCGTGCTGGCGGCCGTGACGGAGGTGATCCGCGCCCAGGGCGGCAGAGAGACCGAGACGGAGTACTTCGCTGCGCTGGTGAGTGCCCGCGGGCGGGGCTGGGCGGGGGGCACCGCACCCCCCACCCAGCTCGGCTGCGAAGACCTGCTGAGGCTGGGCGAAATCACGAAAAGACCGCTTGGGCTGGCAGTGCCGGCGGAGCATAAGAGCATTGCACGGCGTGCGGGAAGGGTGAAGCGAGGACGCCTGGAGCGTGCCTGGAGCTGCAGCCAGCGAAGGCGAAGAGGAGGGTTTCCACGAGAGCAGGATCGGGGTAGCGCGGTCCCCTCCTGACTGTGGAGACAACCTGGTGGCAGAGGATGCAGAAGAGGCTGAAGTGCTCCGTGCCTTTTGCACCTCCGTCTTTGCACGCCAGGGCAGCTCCCAGACGGCTGCGCCGGGCAGCACAGTTTGGGGAGGAGGGGAGCAGCCCTCAGGGGTGAAAGATCAGGGTAGGGACGGCTTGGAAAAGCTGGACGTGCGCACGTCCATGGGGCCGGACAGGGTGCACCCGAGGGTGCTGAGGGAGTTGGCTGGTGAGGCTGCAGAGTCGCTGTCCATCGTCTTCAAAAATGCATGGTGATCAGGAGAGGTGGGCACTCGCTTTATCTAGTCAGCTGGGACATTTAAGAAACGGAAAAAGGACTACAGACCAGTCAGCCTCACCTCAGTCCCTGGAGAAATCATGGGGGAGGTGCGCAAGGAATCCACTCATAATCATCTGGAGGAGAAGAAGGTGATCAGGAAGAGTCATCGTGGATTCACCCGGGGCAAGTCATGCCGGACCGACCTGATGCCTTCTGCGAGGAGGTGGCTGGCTCTGTGGATGTGGGCAGACCCGAGGATGTGGTGTACCCAGATTTTAGCAAGGCTTTTGATATGGTCTCCCACAGCATTGTCGCAGGTGAGCTAAGGAAGTATGGGCTGGATGACTGGACTGTAAGGTGGACATAAAGCTGGCTGGAGCATCGGGCTTGGCAGGTAGAAATCAATGGTTCAATATCTAGTTGGTAGCTGGTATCAAGTGCAGTGCCCTGGGGCCAGTTTTGTTCAACATCTTCATCAACAACCTGGAAGATGGGATGGATGCTGTCATCTGCAGACTTGCTGAGGGTGCAAGTTGGGGGATGTGGTGGATATGCTGGAGGGCAGGGGTAGGATGCAGAGTGACTGAGACAACTTGGAGGATTGGGCCAAAAGAAATCTCGTGAGGGTCAACAAGGACAAGTGCAAAGACCTGCACTGAGGAGGAAACAATCCCCCTGCACCAGTGCAGGCTGGTGGGGACGGGCTGGGCAGCAGTGCTGCAGAAAAGGACCTGGGGGGACAGGGGACAAGAACCTGAATGGGAGCCAGCAGTGCGCCCTTTTTGCTGGGGGACAGGACTGGTGAGGAGAGGCTGAGGGACCTGGGCTGATTGAGTCTGCAGAAGAGAAGACTGAGGGGGATTGAATAGCAGCCTTCACCTCCCTGCCGGGGGCTGCAGAGAGGATGGAGCTGGGCTGTCCTCAGTGGGGGCAGATACAGGACAAGGAGCAATGGGCTCAGGCTGCAGCAAGGGACGTTGAGGTTGGATATTGGGAAGAATTTTCTCACGAGGAGGGTAGTAAAACACTGGAGTGGGTTACCCCGAGAGGTGGTAGAAGCTCGATCATTGGGAGTTTTCACAACCCAGGTAGACCAAGCCTTGGCTGGGATGATGTAGTTGGGGCTGGTCCTGCTTGGAGCAGGGGGCTGGACTAGATGTGGCCCCCTGAGGTCTCTTCACACCCTCGCTTCTGTGATTTCTAACCCACATCTTTTCTCTAGATGACCACGATGGAGGCGGTGGAGTCCGCGGAGTCACTGGCTGCGGTCGCCTACCTGCTTAACCTGGTGCTGAAGCGGTGAGCGCCTCCATCCGCCCCGCACAGGCTGTCTCGGCTCCCTGGGGGCAGAGCTGTCTTGGGCCTTGTAGGGCAGTGCTGTGTGTGTGTCCTCAGGGGCAGAGGCAGCAGTGGGAGGGTTTTGGGGCCGCAGGTGCAGATGGCTTGGAGCACTGCCCATCTCCATGCCCGCATTCCTCCCCCATGGCTGTGCTGATGCCCCCGTCTCCACCACAGGGTCCCGGCGCCTGTGCTGAGGAAAAAGTTCTCCGATGCCTCAAAAGCCTTCATGAGCATCCTGGCCTCGCAAGCTGGCAGCAGCTCCACCTCTGCCCTGCGCTGGGTGAGTGTGCCCGGGGGGCAGTGGGCACTGCCTTGGGACCCCACAGCCCCTTTCTAGGGCTCCCTGCTCAGCCAGCAAAGCACTGGGTGCTGTGGGCCCCTGTGTCCTCCTGAGCCTGCGGGGAGGGTTGTCAGCCCCCCGGGCACTGCTGGCACAAGGTGCAGGCTGTTGGCACTGGGGGACGCCAGGTGCTGACCGTGTTGGTGCCCTGGCAGATGCCTGGGGGGTGGGAGGGGGCACATGTAGGTGGCTGGGGTGAGGGTCGGGGTGCTGGCTGCGTGGGCCCCATGCTAGTGCCTTTCTGGGTGTCCCCACCAGGTTGTCTCCTGCCTGGCCACGCTGCTGCGGAAGCAGGACCTGGCGGCCTGGAGCTACCCCGTCACACTGCAGGTCTACCACGGCCTGCTCAGCTTCACGGTGCACGCCAAGCCCAAGGTGAGTCGTTGGTACCCCACACCCAGCAGGCAGGCTCCAGGAGGGGTCTTGTGCCTGCACTGCCCTGGGAGCGCTAAGCCTGGGCTCCCTAGCTCCAGTGCCTGGCTTCAGGCGGGCTCCTCACCCGCTCCCCCCGCAGGTGCGGAAGGCAGCACAGCACGGCATCTGCTCCGTGCTCAAGGGCAGCGAGTGCCTGTTTGGGGATGCGGCCCCTGAGCACCACCCGGCCGCGCGCTCCACTGCCAAGTTCTGCGTGCAGGAGATCGAGAAGGCTGGAGGTACGGGGGCTCGGAGGTGGGGAGGGGGTTTATGGGGGCTGGGAAGGTGTCACAAGTTGGATCGTGGGCTTGTGGGGGGCCAAGG